TTCCGCTGTGGCGACCCCTGATTAATAAAGGAACTTGAAAAGAAAATGAATGAATCAATGTAGGCTATATTAAATTCAATTGGAAAATGGAATGGAAAAAAATATATTTGTGGCTATTTCAGCATAAACCTATTCCCTCTTCTAAAATACGTACTTGAAAGTGACCACACTGACTTAAATTAATGGGAAAGGGTTGTCTTCTGATAAATAAGAAAAGTGACGCTTCCTCGGCTGAGTTCAACAGCCAATCACAGGCGCCGCTAGCTGTCATGACGTCAGAGAGTAATGTTCAAGGGAGCTCGTCTTGTCATCTGCTGCAGTGACAGTTTTGAGTTAAACTTTGGCCCAGAATAGATGTTGTCAGACCAGTGAGATACTGCGTGACCCTTTAACATAGAGTTCATCTATTAAAATATTAGAAAAGAATACAGAAAAAATTGTGTTTCTTTATTAAAGTTAAATCAAATAAGACAATACTGCAATTTTTGTATTGCTCATTGTTTTCAACATTTATTAGAACGCTAATAAGTCTCAGTGAACCTATACCGCCCTCTGTTGTCTGTAACATGAATTGCAAGAATTTATTACACGATAATATGAAAAAATGATAATAAAATATTCTTACAGACTAAAATTTCTGAAACGAGACTGCCAACAATAATGATTTTCAAAAAGTGTTTTATTTTCAGCCACTTTTAAATACAACACTTTATTAATCTGTGCAGTTTTCAGTTACATTACAAATTTTATACTATATTTTTATATTAAAATGATGTTTAAAAATGTTTTTTTCTGCATGGAAAAATCTGCACTTCAGCAGTATACTTGTATTTATTTATATATGTATATTCATGATTTTCTTTTGCAGATATGTTGATTTATGGGCCAGCGTGGTGGCACAGTGGTTAGCACCGTCGCCTCACAGCAAGAAGGTCGCTGGTTCCCCCACAGTCCAAAGACATTCAGTATAGGTGAACTGAATAAACTAAACTGTCCGTAGTGTATAAGTGTGAATGAGTGTGTATGGGTGTTTCTTATGTTGCAGCTGGAAGGGCATCCACTCCGTAAAACATTTAGTGAATAAGTCGGCAGTGCATTCCACTGTGGCAACCCCTGATTAATAAAGGGACTAAGCATTTATATGTAATTCATTCATTTTCTTTTCGGTTTAGTCCCTTTATTTATCAGGGGTTGCCACATTGTAATGAACCGCCAACTTATCCAGCACATTTGTTTGGGATGCCCTTACAGCCACAATCCAGTGCGGGGGACACACCCATAAACTCTTACATTCATACTCATACACTAGGGCCAATTTTTAAACCCTCAACATGTGTTTGGACTGTGGGTGAAACCGGAGCACCAAGAAAAAACCCATGCCAACTCGGAGAGAACATGCAAACTCCACACTGAAACACCAACTGGTCCAGTTGAGGCTCGAACCAGCGATCTTCTTGCTGTGAGGCGACAGTGCTAACCACAGAGCCACGGCGCTGCCTACACAATATTTTATTGTTCAAAAAGTAAAAATGATTCCTCTGTTTGCAGTGTTTTCTGACTAATGGCATCAAAGATATCACAGTTTCACATTTTTAAGTTTTTATTTTGAATAAATTTAATTCCAGTTTAGTTTACGTTGTTTTTCATTAATGGTTTATTTAGTTTTAGTTTACTCTTTATTTTGTGAACAATTTCTGTTTTTACAGCCATATCAACCTGCAGCCCCAGAGCGATTACTCACTGGCCTGCGCCCGCTCAGTACCTAGATGGGAGACCACTTGGGGTTGGAAGTGGTGTTAGTGAAGCCAGCAGGGGGAGCTTAACCTGTGCTTTTTGTGGGTCCTAATGCCCCAGTATTGACCTTATTCTCCGCAGACGAGCGGGCGCTGCCATTTGAATCTTTTTGGCACGAGACTTCCGGTCTCATTTACTTCCATTCATTTTTAGACATTAAAAACTGCTCGTTTCGCTGTTTGATGTTGCAAACTGATATTTCCTAGTTATATTATTCTACTTGGTCTGTATAGTCATGCAAACATTTGTTTGTAGAGCAAGTAGTTTGACCGTTTTTTGCCGTTTTATTATTCCTTGTCATTTCTCCCATAGGCGACTGAAACGAAAGTTCTAAGACAATCGCGAAAACAGGCGCACTTCCGCATATTAGAATAAGGTCAATAGGAGACAAGGAGACACTGTACTGTCAGTGAGCGCCATCTTTAGGATGAGACGTTAATCTGTGGTCAATAAAAATCCCATGGCACTTCTCGTAAGTAGGACACTGTAAAAAAGTATATGATCAATTAGTCATGACAACATATATTTTTATGTCATTGTAACTTATTAAACTAAGTTAATCATGTTGTGACTTAATTTGATTAGTTACGCAAGATGTTTTCAGTCAGTTTAAGATAATACAAGTTTAATGGACTCATAAAGTTAATATGAGTCAGTGTATCCCCGGTGTCCTGGCCAAATTCCCTCCATCAGCCCTTACCCATCATGGCCTCCCAATCATTCCCATCCACCAAATTGGCTCTATCACTGTCTATACGCTCCACCAATGACTTGTTTAGTTTTGCCTTCATTCGTTTTGGATTTCAGTTGTGACATAAAGCATGAGTCTTCAAACCCATGATTTATTACAACAGGTTTTTAAACATAATAGTTTAATTTCTAATGTCCACTTTTTAATCTTTCCTATGGTGACAGTCAGTGCATAATATTTTGCAAGATAGTATTCAAAGTCCCTTTAAGTAGTCTATAGTCTTTGATTCCGATTAAAGTGTAATTTAAAGACTTAACTAGATTATGTTAACAAGGAAAATTGTCTCATTTCTTCATTGAGTTGATGTATATTGAACAGTGAATAGATTTTTATAATTCATAGATACAATATAAAAAAGATACTCTATAATATCCACTGATGTTCTCGAATTCATAAGTTAATGTGACACTTATTCACTTTCTTATTTTTCTATTCTATTCTGCCACATTCAAAGTAAATGGAGATTCTTTATTGTTTTATCTTCTGTATAATATTGCTGATTATTTCAGGCCATTTCAGCTAGTTTTCATGACTTTTTCCCCCTTTTTTATCCTTGTATGTACAGTTAAAGTCAGAATTATTAGCCCCCATTAGAATTTTTGTTGTTCTCTTTTTTTAAATATTTCCCAAATGATGTTTAACACACCAAGGAAATTTTCACAATAGTCTGATAATATTTTTTCTCCTGGAGAAAGCCTTATTTGTTTTATTTTGGCTAGAATAAAAGCAGTTTTAAATTTTTATGACCCATTTTAATGTCAAAATTTAAGCCACTTTAAGCTATTTTTTCGATAGTCTACAGAACAAACCAATTAACCTAGTTAAGCCTTTAAATGTCACTTTAAGCTGTATAGAAGTGTCAGGCAAAATATTTAGTCAAATATTATTTACTGTCATCATGGCAAAGATCAAATAAATCGGTTATAAGAGATGAGTTATTATGTTTAGAAATGTGTTGAAAAAAATCTCTGTTAAACAGAAATTGGGGAAAAAATAAACAAGGGGGCGAATAATTCTGACTTCAACTGTATTTGTCTGTAAACATACTTAAGGTATATTTTTATTTTGCATATATTTAATATAATTTTTTTATTCTGTCTTAACTTTTAAAATGAACATTTTATTATATATTTACTTAAAGATACTATAATACATTTATAAATAAAAGTTATATATATTTTTTATTACATATGTTAATAATGGGCGAAGCAGTGGCGCAGTAGGTAGCGCTGTCAGCTTACAGCAAGAAGGTCGATGAGTCGCTGGTTCGAACCTCAGCTCAGTTGGCGTTTCTGTGTGGAGTTTGCATGTTCTCCCTGCCTTCATGTGGGTTTCCTCCGGGTGCTCCGGTTTCCCCCACAGTCTAAAGACATGCGTTACAGATGAATTGGGTAGGCTAAACTGTCCGTAGTGTATGATTGTGAGTGAATGTGTGTGTGTGGATGTTTCCCAAAGATGGGTTGCGGCTGGAAGGGCATCCGCTGAGTAAAAACGTGCTGGATAAGTTGGCAGTTCATTCTGCTGTGGTGTAATGTAATTATTAATTCATGTAATTATTTAACATTTTTACTAATTATGCTTTCCGTTAATATATGTTAATTCTGCACCTATGATTCTTATTACATAAGATAATTATTATCATTTTTATTTAGCCCTGTTGGATTCTGTAAAGCATAATTTGGTCTTATTTAAGAGATAGTTCACCCATTTCTCCCATTCACTTGTTGTTCAAAACCTATTTGAGTATTTTTTCCCTGTTAAACACAAAAGAAGATGTTTTGAAGAATGTTGAAAACCTGTAACAATTAACTTCCACAACAATGAAAGTAAATAGTTTTGAGGTTTCTTTGAAATATCTTGTGTTGAACAGAAGAAAGAAACTCATTCAGGTTTATAACCTGTCTCGATAATGTCTCAGATTCTCTTTTAAAATAAAAAATAACAACAAAATATAGAATTATACCTTACTTAAATCCCATTTAAATACATTTTTGTTTCTTAATTAAATCATGTAGTCAAATTGAATCGATTTTATTTATTTAAAGAGACAGTACAGTTTGTTTTCTATCAGGCTCATAATTCAGGTTCGCTTCCCCTTTAAGACGCTTTTGCGGAGTCGCAGTGAGGCCGAATCTCCAGCTGATCTCCAGTCATTCTTTCACCGTCTGAATCCGCACAGTGCGACGGAAAAAAACAAGTCCTGTAGGATCGGAATCAAACACCAGTCTTTTCAAATGTCGGATCAGCTCTTTAAATCATTACCATCATCATCCAAATCACATGTGGTCGCGCGCGGATGATGCCCGGATCGCGTGTCCTTGAGTTGAGCATCATCATCATGCTCATCGTCATCAGCTCAGGATGTTTCTCCATCTCACGACCGACTACATACGAAAATACCAGGATAAATGTGTGTTTTTCCTGCTGGAGGAGAGCGCAGGCGTGTCGTCTGTAATGGGGGAGAGCAGATGAGAAAGTGACGGCGTGTTATTTTGGAGAGGATCTTCATTTGGTGTTGAGCATCAGCATCGGCGTTTGCGTGAAGATGCCGAGGAGTTTACGCAGACTGGTGCACCTGGTGCTCTTCTGTCCCTTATCGAAGGGTTTACAGGTAATTTTTACACTTCAGTGATGGCCATTGGTCATATGTTTCTGTCGGAAAGCTCAGTGGGTCGTATGATAGCAGAACATGGAAGTCATTCCGCACAAATATAAGGGGAAACCGACGATAATTGTAACACACTAGTACTCAAATATCGGTAGCAATGGGTTTAATTTTTGAGTTAGAGTTTATTTTACACTGTGAGGACATGCCTCTGCTTTATTTTGAGAGAATAAACCCATAACTATTTTACGGAGAACAATATGAAGCTTATTTTAGAAGCTTTTTCAATTAAATGTCGATGTTTGGTAGAAGAAATGTCGTTTAAAGGTGCTAAAATAGCACATTGTCATGTTTGTAAAAGTAATACGTCAATATTTTTCATGGTTTCATGCGTTTTGTAGCCTAAGGTTACATATGTTGACATTAGAATAGCATGGCACAGTTTCATGTAGGTATAACCAGCACAAAATATTAATAAAAACAAAACGAATTAAGCTTTTTTTAAGCTAAATATATAGACCATAGCCTCCTTTGAAGCTCTTCCATCCATTATCTAAGGGTTTACAGGTATTTTCTACACATCATTGATGGCCATTTGTCATGTTTTTGTCAGACAGCTGTCATTTGATTAGATTCTTAGTCATTCAATTCAACTATGAGGTTTGGTAATGGAAATGTCTGTCAGAAAGCATTTAGAGGTGTTAAAATAGCACATTGTCATGTTTGTAAAAATGATGTCAATATCTTTCATGGATTCATGCGTTTTGTAGCCCAGGCTCACATTGTTTGACATTGTAATAACATGGCACAGTTTCATGTAGGTATAACCTGCAAAATATTAATAAAAACAAAACGAATTGAGCTCTTTTAAGCTAAATACATATATAACATATAACATACAACAACTATAACATTTTTTGAAGTTCTATCCTTTATCTAAAGGTTTGCAGGTCATTTCTACACTTCAGTGATAGTCATATGTTTCTGTCAGAAGGCTAAATTTGTCATATGATACTAAGCACAATATTACAATGAGTAAATGCTATGATACGTGAATGTGGACGTCATTCTGCACAAAGGGAAACATTTGATAGTTGTAACACTAGTACTTGAATATCTGTGGCAATAGGTTTAATTTGAGTTTATTTTAGAGTTAGAGTTTACATATTGTGAGGACATGCCTCAGTTTTATTTTAGGAGAATAAACAAACAACTATTTTACGCAAAACTCAATTAAACGATATGTTTTGGTTAAAAACTGTCAGAAAGCGTTTAGAGATGTTGAAATAGCACATCATGGTTGTAAAAAATAATATGTCAATATTGTTCATGGATTCAAGCGTTTTGTAGCTCAGGCTCACATATGTTGACATTGTAATAACATGGCATAGTTTTATTTAGGTATAACCTGCACAAAATATTAATAAAACAAAACAAGTTAAGCTCTTTTGAGCTAAATATACAGGCTCTAACATTTTTTGAAGCTCTTCCATCCATTATCTAAGGGTCTACAGGTAATTTCTACACTTCATTGTTAATAAGAGATTTAGAGGTGCAGTGTGATCCTTCAACATTTTAATATTTCATCAAATGACTTTTTAGAAGATTCGATTAAAATATATATCTACAGGGGTATTCTGTAAATCAGGCTAAAAATGTGTTCTAGTTTTTTTTTTTGCTTGGAAAAATGTAATAAACAGTATATTGCAATGTACAAAATGATTAGGCTGTATTGATCTTATTTTATTTATTTTTTTGATGCTTGAAACTTGATTTCAGTCATCTGATATTCTGTTTTTGTGTGGACAAACAGCAGAACCGCATACAAAAAATGTGGCTTTGAAAACATCCCCTGTTCATGTAGACAAGGGCTAAGTCTTGATTATCAAGAATGCTCTTTCCTGTTTTCTTTCCTTAATCTGGCAACCTGCATGTGCAATGTCAAAAAAAATCCTCCTTCAATATTTTGAATTTAGACTGCAATACCTAGTTCAACCACTACAGACTGCACCTTTAATTTACATTTTATGAATCACCAAGGACCACAGTTATATCTAAAATGTTTTTTTTATGATCCACTAAAGACAAAGCAGACAGATATCTTGGAACAGGGGTGTCCAAAGTCGGTCCTGGAAGGCTGCTGTCCTGCTGAGTTTAGCTCCAACTTGCTTCAACACACCTGCCAGGAAGTTTCTAGTATATCTAGTAAGAGCTTCTTTAGCTGGTTCAGGTGTGTTTGATTAGGCTTGGAGCTAAGCTCTCCAGGACACCGGCCCTCCAGAACTGAGTTTGAAAACCCCGTCATGGAAGAACAGCGTAAATTAACAGTGAATGTTCAATTTTCAGTGAACTATCCCTTTAACGTACTGTTTTTCCATCACTGTTTAGTGTGTGTTTCTGCAGATTCACACTAAGAGCCCTCTTTCGTAAGTGCACTCACTATAAGTGCGCAGTGAGACCGCTTGAGACTCTGTAGGTCAGCTCTGTCAGATTCATCGCTGAACATGCCACCGATGACAAACGCATCTTTCTTTTCTCTTGTGCAAGATAAAATCGACAGCAGGGATTCGATCTGAACTTAAACAAAAGCACAACTCTGGTTACACAGATCAGTGTTAAATGGATGAAAAATTGTGCTCCAATCCTGTAGGACTTTCTTTCCTCAGTTGAAAACAAACTATTCAAATTTGTTGTTGATTTACTCATCCTGAGGCTGTAAGATGTGCTTTCCCCCCCCAGTAGTACACCAACCTCTGTATATTGTTCAAATTTTCTACTCTTTTGTTATGTTGGTGACTGTTTTCGCCCTATTGACTTCTAATATAATGACATTTTTTGGTTGCAAAGCCATGACAGCATATGATCATGCTTTCTTGATTGTTGGTGGTTTTCCCAGTTGGGGTTGTCACCAAAAGTCATCCCATTTGCTGAAACACAGAGACGTTTGTGGCCAAATTAAGAGTCAAAATCAATTCAGGGTGCTTTCACACCTGTGAATCGATTCAGTTGTTCCGAAACAGAGATTACAAATGTTACATTGTTGCAGTTCGTTTTCACCCTGCAAAGTTTCTAATCGGACCAAAAGAGCTAAAACAAGTCACGTGCGAGTAAACTCTCCTCACATTGGTCAGAGTGTCAGGGTTTATTTTGCAGCGTCCCGCTGTAAGCTGTCAGGAGAGGTGGTGGATTGGTGGTGATTGACAGGGTGCGCGCGCGTGACGTATCTGAGGAGAGATGCGGTGGGGAGGGGTGAGAAGGGTGCGCGACGATGCCTATTTGAGGACCGGGAGGGAGACTCGAGATTACCGGGAGATCATCACTCGTTTGCGGGCATCCTGAGACTCGTGAAACTTTCCACCATACTCATAATTCTCTCCTCATATAGCCGTATGCCTATTACATATCCATAAAACACTGTGATATAACCGCGCTCGGATCGGATCGCTTTCTCACTGCAATCGAACCGCTCCAGGGTTCGTTTCAATCGAGCCAAGACCGCCTCATTCAAGCGATCTCGGAGCTATTACTTTGGCACGGAACAGAGCGCAATTGCCCTGTTCACATATGCCAAACGAACCGCGCTAACTGGGCAAATGAGACAGGTTCTGAAACAAAATTGTAGGTGTGAAAGCACCCTCAGAGTGGATGAACACATCCTCAACAGCACACAAGAGTTAAAGAAGACTTTTAGCTGAAATTGTGGTCCCTGGTGATTCATTAGAATGCAAGTTAACAATTTATCGGCACTCTGAGAGTCAAGAAACAATTACTTTTCTTTGTCTTGGTCCCTTATTTATCAGGGGTCACCACAGCGGAATGAACCACCAACTTATCCAGCATATGTTTTACGCAGTGGATGCCCTTCCAGCTGCAACCCACTACTGGGAAACACCCATACACTCTCACTTTCACACATACTCGTGTTTCTTTGGATTGTGTGTTCAGGACTTTTTTTTTTGAAAGAACACACTCACACACCCACACACTGACTGAATTTAAGGATCTAATAACAGATGTCCTTATCAGCATGCAGTAATCAGATACATGTGTCTTCACAGAGTCACGCACACACAGAACATTTGCAACCTTTGGCATTCACTGGCCTTTTACACCTGAAAACTGTCCAAGAGGGGAGTTTAATGGAGTTTAATCTTGTTTGGGCACATGTTGATGAGCACTAATATCTCTCCCTCTGTGGGTTTCTCTATGTTACTCTCAGAGGTGCCGAAACTGTTCACATTAAAAACCCATTTTAATTTTAAGCACAAATCCATTTTTTAGATGACCTTTTGATGTGGCACAGATACCACATGCATAAATAAAACACTCCACTATGACATAATTCTAACCGTGACATCCTCGAGTTTCATAATGTCATTTTTTAAGACGGAAAAAACAGCACCATTGCGAATGTATTGCAAATATAAATATTCAGTTTTATTATGTATAAACTATCGGTCAAAAGTTTGAGGTCAGTAGGATTTTTAAATGTTTTAAAATAAGCTTCTCCTGCTCACCAAGGCTGCATTTATTTAATAAAAAATGCAGTACAAATTGTTCAAGTGTGAAATATTATTGCACTGTAAAATAACTGTTTATGATTAATTTTTATTATTTATTCCGCTGATTTTAAAGATGAATTTTCAGCTTCATTCAGGGTTCAACGCTAAGGATTTTTCCTTCCGGCCCGACCGGACCAGTGGTTCAGATTTTTACTTGCCCTGCCAAAATTTTCACTGGCCCCACCAAGAAAATAAAATAAATAAATAAAAAAATTGCTAATTCTTAGCCACATATTTTAAATAATGTGTCCAAAATATTGCCTGTAAATCTAGAATTTAAATGTTTAAAAATTTAGCAGTAAAATAAAGCAGTATGGAAAATGTGCAGGTATTTTATTGCAAAACAAAAGGTGACGGACTTAAAAGTGACGGAAAACTATGCAAAACATCACTTCATTTTTTTTGTTGTGTTGTACCCATGTAAATATGCACAAGACTTTTGGCCAGCGGAGAAATTAAAATGGTCGTGCCGAACTGAGTCTGGTTCTCTCAAGGTTTTTTTTCTTCACTCTCCTATTGGTGAAGTTTTTTTTCCCTCTCGGCTGTCGCCACTGGTTTGCATGGTTCAGGATCTGAAAAGCTACGCATCGATGAATTTGCTCTTCAGTGTTTAGACTCTCAATAATGACTTCAAAGCACACTGAACTGAGCTAAACTGAACTGAACTTAAACACTAAAAACTGAACTACCCTGATCCAGTTACTATGACCATTTATGTGAAGCTGCTTTGACACAATCTACATTGTAAAAGCGCTATACAAATAAAGCTGAATTGAATTGAATATCTGTTTCCACAACGTTAGAAACAGATGTTTTCTTATAGCCTCACAATGTGGTGTTGCCGTCTCTTCCCTGTACTGGTTTTTACATGGTTGTGGAAAAAAATAACATGCTCACAACATCCAATCAGATAAAAGGAACCTAAAAGCAATATGGTGTTTACAACTTCACAAAAAAAAAAAATCACAAATAGTTTCCCGATTCTAAGACTGTATATATGCATGCAATTGACAAATAGTCGCAGACGAATTAAAATTTTGTCACAAGGCAGCACTGGCCTGATCGAGCCAGTAACGATTCTCTCTACTGTCCCGAGCATCTCTCACGCTGGCCCCGGCCATCGGGCAGTCCTTATTGTTGAGTCCAGTCATTACTCCAGTCTTCAGAGTCACATGATCTTTCAGAAATCACTCTAATATTAATTATTATTATTAATACTATTATTATTATTAATTTTAATAGTAATAAAAGCAACAATGAGTCGAGTAATAATTTAATTTGAAACATCATACAGTAAGTTCTAAATAAATATTTAATAAATGCCGCCTTGATGAACAGAATAATTTTATTTAAATTATTAAATAAAATAAATAAACACAGAACCCAAAGTTGACCGGTAGTGTATATCTCATGTATTGAGTATTTTAAACATATAAAAATAACCTAGTGTTGGTGGGTAAAATGATGTCATACACATATCCTATATGCATTAAACACCTTAACCACAAATATCGTAATTTAATATGGCAATATGATAATCCTATTGTAGTTTTTTTAAACTTCATCTGTGTATGTGGAAAATAATTGTATACTTTTTTAAAAGTCATAAATACTAGCCCTCCTGTGAATTTCTTTACTTGTTTCATTCTTTCATTTTCTTGTCGGCTTAGTCCCTTTATTAATCTGGGGTCGCCACAGCGGAATGAACCGCAAACTTATCCAGCAAGTTTTTACACAGCGGATGCCCTTCCAGCCGCAACCCATCTCTGGGAAACATCCACACACACATTCACACACACACACTCATACACTACGGACAATTTAGCCTACCCAATTCACCTGTACCACATGTCTTTGGACTGTGGGGGAAACCGGAGCACCCGGAGGAAACCCACACGAACGCAGGGAGAACATGCAAACTCCAAACAGAAACGCCAACTGAGCCAAGGCTCGAACCAGCGACCTTCTTGCTGTGAGGCGACAGCACTACCTACTGCATCACTGCTTTGCCCTTTTCTTGTTTAAATATTTCCCAAATGATGTTTAACAGAGCAAGGACATTTTCACAGTATGACTAATAAGATTTTTTCTTCTGGAGAAAGTCTTATTTGTTTTATTTTGGCTAGAATAATTATGGAGGATAGTAGCATCTGTGTGCAAGTCTAATATGAACTAAGGATAGCTGATGTTGTGCTGCATCTTCTTTTGTTTAAATGTAACTGTGTAGTTACTGCAGTTAATGCAGTGAAAATCTGTTTGCTAATTGTACACACATGAACACCTTAGTGCATTGAATGACTACATTTTTATGAGCTAAACTGGGTTTTTGCGAACTGAGCATTGTATCAGTTGATGCAATAGGGTTATTTTCTGTAAATTTAAACAGTCCTATAAAACTTTAATATTTTTGCAGAAAATTCCTGGCAACAACTGCTGGTATTTTTCCGTAAATTTAACGATTTTTTTTAACAGTGTAAATAAATTAAAGCAATTGAACTAAACAACAATACATTACCTTTATGTAACTAACTTAAGTTCAGTCAAATAAATATTCTTTATTTTAGGTTACTTAACTTGGTTACGTGGAACCTGTTGACATAAAAAAGGTAATTAAAGCCAACATATCATTTTTTTGAAAACATTTAAAACCATTTAAGGTCAAAATTATTAGTCCCCTTAAACAATATTAGTTTTCAATAGTCTACAGAACAAACCATGATTATACAATAACTTGCCTAATTACCCTAACCTGCCTAGTTAACCTAGTTAAGCCTTTAAATGTCACTTTAAGCTGTATAGAAGTGTCTTGAAAAATATCTAGTCAAATATTATTTTCTGTCATCATGGTAAAGATAAAATAAATCAGTTATTAGAGATGAGTTATTAAAACTATTATGTTTAGAAATGTGTTGGAAAAGTCCTCTCTCCTTTAAACAGAAATTGGGGAAACAATAAACAGGCAGGCTTATAATTCAGGAGGGCTAATAATGCTGACTTCAACTGTATCTAAACGTTCGCTTCTATTTGTCATTCCATGTTAATTATCGTTGACATTGTTTGTCTCTTTTTAGGCCCGTTTGCCTGCAGTGAAGGTGAAGTACCTGTTGGTGGCGTGGTTTGGGATTCTGGTGGCCAGCTGGGTGATTTACATGCAGTACTCCTCCTATTCAGAGCTCTGCAGAGGACACGTCTGCACCATGCTCATCGTAAGTCACGGCATCCTCCATAATGCATGACAGGACGTCCCATGAGCGCCAGTGCTTGCCACTTTACAGTCAACACAGAATAGACACTGCAGGTTCAGACAGAGAGTGAGAAGCTGATTCATGGTGATTGACAAAAAAACAACTTTGTGTGATCTTATCAGTGGTGGAAAGAGTACTGAAAAATCATACTTAAGCAAAATACTATTACACTTACCGGCCACTTTATTAGGTACACCTTACTAGTACCGTGTTGGATCCCCTTTCACCTTCAGAACTGCCTTAATCCTTTGTGGCATAGATTCAACAAGGTACTGGAAATATTCCTCTGAGATTTTGATCCATATTGACATGATAGCATCACGCAGTTGCTGCAGATTTGTCGGCTGCACATCCATGATGCGAATCTCCCGTTCCACCACATCTTAAAGGTGCTCTATTGGATTGAGATATGGTGATTGTGGAGGCCATTTGAGTACAGTGAACTCATTGTCATATTCAAGAAACCAGTCTGAGATGATTCGCGCTTTATGGCATAGTGCGTTATCCTGCTGAAAGTAGCCGTCAGAAGATGAGTACACTGTGGTCATAAAGGATAGACATGGTCAGCAACAATATTGAGGTAGGCTGTGGTGTTGACACAATGCTCAATTAGTACTAATGAACCCAAAGTGTGCCAAGAAAATATCCCCCACACCATTACACCACCACCAGCAGCCTGAACTGTTGATACAAGGCAGGATGGATCCATACTCTCATGTTGTTGATGCCAAATTCTGACCCTACCATCCGAATGTCGCAGCAGAAATTAAGACTCATCAGACCAGGCAACGTTTTTCCAATCTTCTATTGTCCAGTTTTGGTGAGCCTGTGTGAATTGTAGCCTCAGTTTCCTGTTCCTAGCTGACAGGAGTGGCCCCCGGTTTGGTCTTCTGCTGCTGTAGCCCATCCGCCTCAAGGTTGGACGTGTTGTGTGTTCAGAGATGCTCTTCTGCAGACCTTGGTTGTAACAAGTAGTTATTTGAGTTACTGTGGCCTTTCTATCAGCTGGAACCAGTCTGGTCATTCTCCTCTGACCTCTGACATCAACAAGGCATTTGCGCCCACAGAACTACCGCTCACTGGATATTTTCTCTTTTTCAGACCATTCTCTGTAAACCCTAGAGATGGTTGCTCAAAAATCCCATTAGATCAGCAGTTTCTGAAATACTCAGACCAGCTCGTCTGGCACCAACCACCATGCCACGTTCAAAGTCACTTAAATCAGCTTTCTTCCCCATTCTCATGCTCGGTTTGAACTGCTGCAGATCGTCTTGACCATGTCTACATGCCTAAATGCATTGAGTTGCTGCCATGGGATTGGCTGATTAGAAATTTGCGCTAAAAGGCAATTGGACAGGTGTACCTAATAAAGTGGCCGATGAGTGTAATTCCTTCATATTGTCTCAACACAAATGAATTGTGTGGAATCCAGCATTTTTTTTTTACAGACTCAAATTAGACTCAAGTAGACTCAAATTACTTTTGCTGCTCGTTTAAACTACTTATTTAAAATGAATTGAAATAACAATTCCTACTGGTTTTAGGGGACAACTTAATAGTTTTTACAAATTTAGGTTGATTGAACATAAAACTATTAAGTTAACTTAATTCGTGGTGGGACAACATGAAGGAATTGTGTAAAACTCAGCATTCTTTACAGTGTATCTATCATTAATCAGTGCTATTTTCTTTTAAAGGGATAGTTCACTCAAAAATGTAGTTACTATTTTCTCCTTCTCAAATGTTTCCAGACATTAAAATATGAGGAAACACAAAAACCACACTCACTCAGTCATTCATCACAATGGGGAAAACCAAAGAACACAACTGTGATTTGTGGAGAAATGTTGTTAAGTTTCACAAATTGAGAGGTGGCTTTACGAAAATGGCAAAAACACTGTAATTGCTCATTTTCCACCATCAGGGTGATTATAAATGTGTTATTCAAGAGTTCACACTTAGCTGATGATTTACAAAGCTTATTTGGCATGCTGTCCCGGGAGAGAGCCCCGAGCTCAAGGGCTCCTCGAGCCCGGGGCTTCCTCCCGTTGGCAGAGCAAGAAGGGAGCCCGAGCTCGGTGGATCTCAGAACTCCCCTGCTGCTGTAGCTAAGGGAACGTAAGGGATTAGACAAGCTTGATTGGTATGTATGTTGAATGTCTTTGGATGGTGGGAGGAAACCGGAGAACCCGGGGAAAACCCACGCGGACACGGGGAGGACATACAAACTCCTCACAGAAACACCCACCGGTCCTATGGAACTAGGGCCGGCAGTATTCTTGCTGTGTGGCTCGCAGTGCTAACCACTGGACCGCCGTGCCGCCCAATCACAAGTAAAGGAGGAGAATAGGGGAGGAGGGGGGTTTCTTCCAAACGAAGATAAAGTGAACTGAACACTGAGGCTATTTATAGTGGCTTAGGGCTCATATAATTGGAAGATTAGTGATTAGCAAATGCGAGACTGGCCGTGATAAATCATAAGCACGTGATCCTCTCGAAATTAGTTTATGAATAAACTTCACTTAATCAGCCTGGAAGATGACTTTGTGTCTAAAAAATTAAACATCACAGAATTCAGTTGTTTTGGAGGGTCCAAAAGTCTCTGAATCTACAATTTAGCCTCATCTACATCAGGGGTTCCAAAATTGTCAACTTGCAACCCCCAAAATAACAATGCCAGTATCTTCTGACCCCCCTATATCCTCAGAGGTGGTAATAAATGTACAAATACTGCGCACACACCAATAGGACTGTAAACACAAACATATTAACAACAAAACGCAATGAATTGTAATGAGTGGCGAAAAGGTGTCAACGTTTAACATGGTGCCGTAATATCAATCTGCTGAAACTGATGCTATTTGTGTGTCGTTAATCTAACTTAACCTATGGGTTGCAATCCAATGGGAAAATAAATAAAAAATAAATAAATAAAAAAGCTGATGGGCTTTGTTTTTCTTTTAAATCTAACTATTAGTCCTTTTTTTCCCAGAGATGGGTTGCGGCTGCGGCATCCGCTGCGTAAAAACCTGCTGGATAAGTTGGCGGTTCATTCCGCTGTGGCGAGCCCAGATTAATAAAGGGACTAAGCCGGCAAGAAAATGAAAGAATGAATATTAGTCCTTTTTTATCTCTTGTTAGTTATGGATAAAATATGGAAGTTCTACTAGTTTATAAAAAGTTATTAGATTTTTGGAAATCCCCAAGCGACCCTCATTTCAGAACCACTCACTTACATCACCAAAAATAGTTTAGAAGTGTTTAAAGAAAAAGCCTGTAATATTTAGACCGGATGATCAAACTGCTAGACATTTTTTCATAGTCTACTTTTCTCATATTTACCAATGTTGCTAAAAAGTGCAGGGCACTGTATGCTGTTGTTGTGTGTGTGTATTGTTTGTCACTGTCAGGAAGTTATTGCACATCCGTCCTGAGAGAAGGGAGGAACTGGAAGATTAAAAAGAAGAAGCGAGAGAGCTGGAAGTTCATAATTATGCTCTTATAGAAACCAAATTTGTGTTCGCTCAATACACTTGATTGTGATTTTAATCATGATGTATTCCTCTCTGAGATATAAATAGGAACTTCTTCTTAGTGAGATGTTTACATTCTCAGTCAGATATTCTTTCTTAAAGGGATAGTTCAGTCAAAAATTAAATCTGTCATCATTTACATTTATTTGAGTTTCTTCTGTTGAAGAATGCTGGTGATGGACCCCATTGACTTCCAATGTATTTGTAACTCCCTCACAACAACACAGACACAGGTTGTTTCTCCAGAACGGGCGTTTATGTAAGGTCGTCCTTATGTGCTTTGCAGCTGTCGCCATGACGCCGTGAGAACTGTATAAGTAAATGAACACAGTACAAACGTATAAGAGATGATACAAACTACGATTATCTAATACATTAAAAGCAAAACAAATACCTCGTTGGTCGCTTGTCATGAAAAGAGGGTCCTTGGATTAATAAAGTCTTCTTCACTGTCCTTTTGACTTATGACAGCAGCAACTTTAAGCTTCTTAAACACATGTAACTTTACACAGCACTGACATGCGTCTCTTCATCGTCAGTCTATCCGGGAATCCATAAACAAGTCACACACATTACACGCCATTTCCTCAAAGTGACAAGTTTCCATAATAAATGTCTTAAACTACAACATATGAAATAATAACACATTTACATTCATAAATACACTTCAGCTAAATTAATAAAACATATTAGGACCTTAAATCACTAAAGGATGAAATATGAAACAAATATGTAAAATAAATGTGCGATTATGCAGAAATGCTTGATAACAGCACTTATACACTGAAAAAATTATTTAACTTATATTTTTTTGTCGTGTTTCTAGTCCAAATATCTGAAAATTCCTAAATCAAGAAGAATTTTCTAGACAAGCAAAACATATTGTCTTGTTTTGAGAAATAATATGCCAATAATAAGTGAGTTTTTCCTTAAAACAAGCAAAATTATCTGCCAATGGGGTAAGCAAAATAATCTTACGTCAAAAGAAAAAACAAGATTATTTTGCTTACCCCATTGGCAGATTATTTTGCTTGTTTTAAGGAAAAACTCACTTATTATTGGCATATTATTTCTCAAAACGAGACAATATGTTTTGCTTGTCAAGAAAATGCTTCTTGATTTAAGAAATTTTAGATATTTAGACTAGAAACAAGACAAAAAATCTAAGCAAGAAAAGCATTTTTTGCAGTGCAGTATTTTTCTTTCGGCTATAGAAGTCAGAGGTTGCCATCAACGAGCATTTTTCAAATTATCTTCTATTGTGTTCAACAGAAGATAGAAACTAAGATGTTTACACCATTTTTGGGTGAACTATCCCTTTAACAAGTTTAAAAAAAAAAAGAAGAAGAAGAAATAGATGGTGTTTTATTGGGACAATGAAAGCTGTAAAATCTATTTTCACACCGAAAGCCAAAGTTCCTCATTTTGATTTTCTTCCTTCATTTTATTTTCCAAAATGTCTTTTTAAACGTGGCACATATAAAATATGCATGAAACACTTCTTTTCTTTCTTTCCATTTTTAGTGAAGTTTCTTTATAAACTAATTTTGAGAAGATCACGTGCTTATGATTGTTCACGGCTGGTCCCTCATTAGCCAGCACATGATGCACCAATCAGATTAATCCTAATGCCGAGTTCAGACTGCATGATTTTCAAAGTAGTCGTGTCACAGATGTTTTCACACTGCATGACTATCTGGGCTTGCGTTTCGTCGCTGCTTTGTTCACACTGCAAGATGGATCGGCGACAGGGACTTTCACATTGCATGACTTTACTATAGGAAGAATCGCCGACAACTTCGTCCAAACTACGTCTCACAGCCAAAAGCACGTAGTATATCTTTTGTTATTAACTACATAAAGAGAAAGAAGCCTTTAATGGGGTAGAAAATGTACATGTTTGCTCACCTGGGTTTAAAGGGAATTAGCCATTTCTCCTCAACGTTGATAATAAACTAATTTCTTTCTGTATGAAACGTCAAACAGACACAGTTGCTCCTGAGTCCTGTCAAACCACCACTAGCTTTTCCTCCATTTCGTGGGTCCAAATAAACCGAAAAAGAGCGCTTTTAACTTCTCCCCCAGCCTCCCGCTGGCCTGCAGCAGGTATACACACACGCACACACAAGTGAAAGCTGCTCTCTCTTTGGCTGTAGGCGATCACTGATGTTATTTTCAGTCAAAACTCAATTCACACGGTATGATTTGAATCGCCGACAGCTCCAGATATTTAGTACGCCAAATATCTCACAGGCATCGGCGACTCATTGGCGATTCTCTCAGATCGCGTCTTTGATAGTTCATACTGTGTGATTGTCACTCACGTGCACGAGCAGCGATTTGCCTGTGATTTCATGCATTTGTCGGCGATTTCTCAAAACCTGTCGCCGAGCCAAAATCGGGGCTAAAATCATCCAGTCTGAACTCGGCATTACTCATTATAAATAACCCGAGTTTCTTATCTTCATCTTGAAGAACTGCCTCTCTTTCTAAATGGGCGACCCAGTGATTCGCACTGTTGCCTCACAGCAAGAATGTCTCTGGTTAAAGTCCTTACTTTACTTGTTGACATTTCTGTGCAGAGTTTGCTCGTTCTCCCTGTGCTTGTGTGGTTTTTCCACGGGTTCTACAGTTTCCTCCTACAGTCCAAAAAACAGGCAACCTAAGTAAATTAAACATACCAATTATCAAATAGTGATGGTGAAATGAAGCTTTCTGAACCAGTGAAGCGCTCGATTCAATTGTATCGGAAAAAGGTTCGTTACTTGAAGCTCTCAAAATCAGAGCTCGACGAGGACCTCTGCTGTTTAAAGTGTGGGAAAGCACTGTGTTGCAATAATGTCAAATGTTCACAACTGAACAACTCCTTCATGTAGTAATACAACAACAGTAATATAAACAAATGACTCAATTACTGTAGTTTTCACACATAAGGTATGTAACATTACACCACCGATGACTGGTAAAATTCAAGGCATTCAAAAGTATTTCCATATATCGTATTCGAACTAGTCCTTTACCCACCCACTTGTTCTAAGCGGGGATAATCTGCAAAGTGGTAATGCAAAAACGCATACAAATTACAGCAACTGTAGAAAGCAAAGGTAAAACCTGAATCCTGGACATTTTAGGAGATTCAGAAACTACAGTTGGATGCATCTTTGCAGAAAAGGCGCATCTCTGTAGGTCTGCAGAGCACGTGAGAGTTCCTGTGTGAGTGACAGATCGCACACACACAGAACCAGCAGTAGGAAACGTGCAGAGCTTCCACTGATTAATCAATTGCGAATGTTTAATTTTCTTGGACTAATACAAAAGAGTGTAAAAGGATGATAATAATAGTATTATTCATGTGTCAACACCAAATATACCTGGGTGGCCCGTCTAAGTAAAGTGTATGTGTGGGAAGCACTGGTGTGGTATGACAGGGTATAGATGGGATCTTTCTTTCTGAGATGGCTGTCAAACTGACGCTGATTCAGGCTTCTGGATCGGATTAAATTAACAGTTTTCTATTGTGCCATCCAGTGGACACAATTGGAAAAGCAGTATATTTTATTGAAAAAGTGCAGGTCACAGAATCATCTCGCGGGCCAGATCGGGCCGTACGTTTGACACCCCTGCTCTAGGAGGAGGCTATGTGAGTGAGGCTTTCAGGCTGCACTTCCCAGCTGGACTCCGTTTAAACACTATACTTTGATATGCAGTGTTTTTTTAAAGATAGTTGTAAAAGAAATATGCTAATACACTTTAGTATGGTTCAAAACCTTTTTACTATAAATTACTATTATATGTTAATGGTGGACCAGTGTAGTGCTTGGAAACGTACGTATGTAATCAATGCCTAATCTCTCGCTACACACTTTACTCACCCATGAGGGTGTTTAAACGTTTGAATCAAAATTCGAAGCAGTCACGTGGGTATTGGCGAAAATGAAGCTTCGGACGTCACTGATCACGTGATGATGGCAAAATTAATCAAGCTCCGGTACACTGTTCCATTGCAAGATGTATTGTTTTTTTGATGCATTCTTCAAAGCCTCGGCGCACAATGTTACATCACTAGCATCATAGTCAAGCTCTTAGCAAGCCGTATATCTCCTTAGCCATCTTATATCTGCCATTAGCCAGAAATAAGATGGGGAAGTTCTCGAGATCTACCTGAGCTCAAACTCCCTTGTCATCCTGCTAACAGGAGGGAGCCCAGGGTTCGAGGATCTTATAAGCTTAGGGCTCCTAGGACATCTTGGCAAACACGCTTATTACCAATCATCAGCAAGTGTGAACTCTTGAATATTGGAATAAATTAGTTTAGACAGTTTTTACTTGGAATTCTGAGATTATATCTTCACTTTTATTCCTTCTAGATTCATAATTATTAATGTTATAAATATAATCCTGACTTATTTTTTTACTATTCTGACCCCCTCCTCAAAAATCTGAATGTATTGCAATTTAGTTTTGTCCTACTGTAGATATTAACTTCAAAATTTTTAGATCGAAAACTCAATTTTAAGAAACAAAGAAAAAAATCTGAAGGGTGGTGGGGCGCACCCTTATAGATAGGGTGAGGAGCTCTGACAACCGGGAGGACCTCAGAGTGGAGCTGCTGCTCCTTCACATCGAGAGAAGACAGCTGAGGTGGCTCGGGCATCTGTTTCAGATGCCTCCTGGACACCTACCTAGGCAGGTGTTTCAGGCATGTCCCACCGGAAGGAGGCCTCGGGGAAAACCAAGGACACGCTGGAGGGACTATGTCTCTTTGCTGGCCTCGGGAATCCCCCCGAGCAGCTGGAGGAAGTGTCTGGGGAGAGGGAAGTCTGGGATTCTCTCCTAAGACTGCAGACCTGCGACCTGGCCCTGGAAAAGCGGTAGAAAATGAATGAATGAAGGATCTCATCACCATTACAAAGCTTCAAAATTTCTGTTCAAACTGGAAGAACGAATTTGCTCTAAACAACACAAAAACAGCCAATTTTCATTTGTTATGTGTCCCAGCAGTGTTTTTAGCAACAAGGCACATATATATGATTGTCAACTAATCAAAACATGTCTTTTGGTGTTTCATGACCCTTTAAAAGCCTTAAAGTTTAATTATATAACCGTATAACCTTAGATTATATATCTGAATATCTATAAATATATGTGTGAGTCCTTTTAAACACTTGGTAAAGCTCAGTGGGATTTCAACTCGTTTTGCAACATGCAAATTAACAGCCACTTTTGTAGAAAGCAGAAATGAAAGAGAAGAAAAAGGGGGAACACACAGGTGTGAAGGAGAATTCATCTGCTTAAGGATCAATCCATCATGAAACTCCTCTGTCTGAACTGACCTGTTTGCTTGATCAATTGAGAAAAGATTACAAAATGTATTTACCTTTTCTTGTAAATGCCTCTTTTCTCGCTTGTGTTACAGTGCGATCATTACCGTAGAGGGATCATCTCCGGGTCAGTGTGTAAATCTCTGTGTGAGGAGAAAACTCTGTCTCTTCATCACTGTCTTTCAACATCCCCAACACACCAGGTAAACAACAAAAACCAATTAAAAAAACAGAATAATGAAATAATAATGGGTCTCCTTTACTAAACATCCCTGTGCACAAATTATCAAAAACAAACAGTTGTGTGAAAAGCTCTTATATTGAGAGTGTATTATTCAAATTACTAACAGATAAAAGAAGTTTAAAGTTGGTATGAAACTTTAAGAACAACATATGCACGTGTTGTATGAAAAACGTACGCACTTATTGGATACAAGACACAAATGGCCTTTTAGGCAATAATATAAAATTGTTTGTGCTGCAGGTGTACAGTGCTGTATGGAAGGAGAAGGCTGTGTTAGTGAAGTGTGGGATTGAAGAGAGCATTAGAGGAGAAAATGGTCTTGATTCTCCATTACGACATGACAACAACCTCTACGACAAACCCACTCGCGGAACGTCCATGGATGAATTCAGAGCGATGCTGCATGCCTTCCTCAAGGTACCTCAATCTACTAGAATTCAGGATATAGTAGCGTGCTCGTTCCTGGAAGAATACTCAGGACTACATTTAAGGCATTTGCATTCATTGAAAAAGAGTGTTCAGGCCCTGGTATACTTCAAACTGTTATTTTTTGTTTGAGGCCAAAAAGAAGTTGAGTAAGTATACTGTTTTTAAACCTTCTGACAGCCCTTTGCTGCAGTAGGGGTTGTAAATGTCTCACACCGCTCAAGTGGACTCCTAAACACAACAACAATGGTAATACTGTGATGGTATGTTCACACCAGATGTAGATGAACCATAAAGCACAAGTGATTTGCATGTTAAGTCAATGCAGAGACGCCATCAGATGTGCGAATTCGCACGAATTGAGAATTTCGGGTGTTTGACATGCAAATCACTCTAGTTGAAAAATTAGAACTGTGGCAGATTTCATACCATGTTAACCAATCAGAAGCTTGCTTTAGTGGGGGCGTGATTATGATGTAGCGTTTGCAGTTGGTGTCCCAAAGGAAAAAACCCTGCCGACAAGGGACAACAGGTCATCAAATTCAGTCAGAAGTACCATTGAAAGTGTCTGTCATCCAGGTGCAGCTTCTGAATGAGTTGATGAACCCACAGAGCTAGGTGCACCTCCAAAGGATCCGATGTACCAAGACACAGCGCCGAATGAATATATGTTGTTTTTCAGCCTTCCTAAGACACTATTAATCTTTTGATAAAATCCATGGTAGCCATTAGCAATGAAACTGGAGTTGTCGGCCGACAGACACTCCTGCCATGACGCAAAGCCGCATCTGTCTTGAAGTGAATTTTACACGCGAATAAAGCGAGTAAACTTAAAATGTTCACGCATCTAATTACATGTGAATAGTACAACATGTTTGTGCAAGCCACATCGAGAGAAGTCAGCTGAGGTGGCTCAGGCATCCGTTTCGGATGCTTCCTGCACGCCTACCTAGGAAGGTGTTCCAGGCTTGTCCCAACCCGGAGGAGGCCTCAGGGAAGATCTAGGACACACTGCAGGGACTATGTCTCTTGGCTGGCCTGGGAACGCCTAGGGATCCCCCCGGGGGAGCTGGAGACTTCTGCCCCCGCAACCCGGCCCCGGAAAAACAAATGAAAATGAGATGAGATTTGTGCAATCAGTACCAGCTTTTTGACTTGACTCTCCAGTTTGTTCATGTTGCTAATTTAGGGTGCTTTCACACCTACACTTTTGTTTCGGAACCTGTCTCGTTTGCCCAGTTAGCGCAGTTCGTTTGGCATATGTGAATCCACCAATCGCTCTCTGATTCGCGCCAAATCAATTGCTCCGAGATCGCTTGAATGAGGTGGTCTCGTCTCGATTGAAACGAACTAAGGAGCGGATCGATTGCAGTGAGAAAGCAAACGATCCGAGCGCGGTTACATCACAGTGTTTTATGGATATGTAATAGGCAGACGGCTATATGAAGAGAGAATTATGAGTAGGGCGGGAAGTTTCGCGAGTCTCTGGATGCCCGCAAACAAGTGATAATCTCCCGGTAATCGCGCATCTCCCTCTCTTCGCGTGCACCTTGTCAAACACCACCAAACCACCACCTCTCCTGACAGCTGAGCGGGACTCTGCAAAATAAACCCCGACACTCTGACCAATGTGAGGAGAGTTTACTCACACGTGACTTGTTTTAGCTCTTTTGGTCCGATTGGAAACTTTGCAGTGTAAAAGCGAATGGCTCCAAGAGCAACAATGTAACATTTGTAATCTCTGTTTTGGAACAACTGAATCGATTCACGGGTGTGAAAGCATCCTTAGTTTCATTGTGCTGGATGTTTTTCTCCTGTCTGACTCTGAACTGCATGGATTCGAAGCACGTCCAATAGTAGCTCAAAGGTGTTCAAGACCAAAACAATCTCCCCCAAAACTAGTTTGTTTTGGTAGCCTGCTTTGAACTACTGTTATGAACTTCCTTTTGTCTGGCCTTTGCTTAAAATGATGCCATTTCAGTTCTTTTTTCGATTTGAAGTATACCGGGACCTTGAGTGATATAGATAACAGCTGTTGCTGGAGTGTCTCCAGTTGCAGTGTTCAAATCACACAGTCCTATAGTTGTAACTGTTATTAGAGATGCTTATGTCCTGCACAGCAAAGCTAATGAATGAGTAACCCTCAGCTTTCGGCAGTTCCTGAAGGTCCCCTGTAGGAGGGTGAAAACGAAGAGAGAGAACAGGGGAGGGAGTGGGGTAACATGGAAGAGAGGCCAAAAATAACTGAAGGAGCTTGAAAAGGTCACAGTCAGAACAATACACTCACTTCCAGTGTCACTGGGGAGAAAAGACAAACACACACTTAAACACAACCCACACCAAATGCTGTAAATGGCTATTCATCTGTAATGCTGAAACAGACTGTAATTTAAAGATCTCAATGACTTTTTTGTCTGTCAATACTCCTAAAATTGAATTTTTTTTGTTCATCTTCCAGGAAAAGATCCTAAAATTATAGAAAATTATATTGTATAAGACATGATTTTTCGTCATTGAAAAATCTAGAAATATTTTCTCTGGTCATAACATATATATAATAAAAGAAAGTGAACATGCTAGTAAGTGGAAAGTCATAATTCATGACTATTACATTATATTTTGTATTTTAAAGTTCTTAATTCTCTTTCATTCCCATTCTTCACAGGACAGTGTTGGAGAGCAGTCGTCTCTTAGCACGCTTGTAACTCGTGTGATTTCTTTAGCGGATGTCAACGGTGATGGCAAAGTTTCATTAGCGGAGGCGAAATCAGTGTGGGCTTTGCTTCAGATCAATGAATTTGTGTTAATGGTGGCACTGCAGGATAAAGAGCATGCTCCCCACCTGCTGGGATACTGTGGGGACCTTTATGTGACTGAACACGTGGCACACAGTGCACTCTTCAGGCTGGAGGTGCCCGGCTGGCTGGAGCCAGTGTTTCCAGAAGCGCTGGCCATAGCTCTTAACCAGTGGCTCGCTCCTGCATGGCCCCGCAGGGCTAGAATAACCATTGGCCTGCTAGAGTTTGTAGAGGAGGTGTTTCATGGCATGTATGGAAGCTTCTACATATGTGACGCAAGCCCGAGGCGGGTTGGCTACAATGCGAAATATGACTTCAAGATGGCAGATCTTCAAAGCTTGGCATCAGAGGCAACAGTAAAGGGGTTTCTACGAGGGAGAACTTGTGAGGCTAATGCAGACTGTACTTATGGACGTGATTGCACTGCGACGTGTGACCGATTAGCAAGGCAGTGCAACGTGGAGGTGGTGCAACCAAACCTGGCCAAGGTGTGCGCACTATTACAAGACTTTCTGCTCTTCGGAGCACCATCCGATCTTAGGGAGGACCTGGAGAAACAGCTGCGCACATGTGTCACACTCAGCGGACTTGCTTCGCAGATGGAGGTGCATCATTCCCTTGTTCTGAACAACCTCAAAACGCTTCTTTGGAAGAAGATCTCTGATACCAAGTACTCTTGAGACCAACGTAGGGTTGATTAAGAGAAAGGCAATGAAGAGAACTGGAGGCTTCTAGGGAAAGAAGGTAGGGATAGCAGAGCAGCCTTGGAAGACCAAGAGAATAGCTGAACTCTGCCACCTCTGGACTTGGCAAAAAAAGAAAAATGTCTAACATTAGTTGCTTTTAACAGCAAAGAGGGGAAGTTGAGTGTATAAAGGCTCAGAAATACACTACATCCGCTGTTACTTGAAGACCCTTTAACCCTCTAGAAATACCTTCAGTAAATGGTTTTTCCTTTTCCTAAAAGATTTCAGTTGAAGACCATCCAAGACCTTGCTATTACCATGAAACCCCTCCTCAAACAGTACCTTGAGTCTTGCTTGGATATCATTTTGGGTATTGGATATTGGGTTCAAGCACACAAATATAATGCTCAATGCCAAGTAGAAGCAACCCAAAGTAAGGGTTTACAAGATTTGGTCTCCATTCCGTTAATTAGTTTGACTTGTGCAACACAACTGAAGTTGCTTTAACTTTATAGGACCCCGTTTCTGAAAAAAAAAAAATCTCCTTTATTTGTAATGTCCATTATTAAAGTAAGAGCCCAATTAGGAACAAAGACAACTGAAGGACATCTCTTTTCATACATTGAATCCTCCTTATTGAATATAAATGTACGGATATTGGGATTGAGCACAAGAATAGAAAGGCCAAAATAGAAGTAAGCCAAGGGAGGAGTTTACAAGATGAGCTTTGATCAACATTCCCACACTCTTATTTGTGTAACATTTAAGACCATTTAAAACTTAGAAAGATTTTTTAGACGGAAAATTTTTTTGCAATGCAATTAAGAACAAAGACAACTGAAGAACATTCTTTGACCATGCAACCCCTTCCCAAACAATACCTTGAGTCTTCTTTGGTCAACGTAAAGGGAAGGATAATGGGTTTAAGAACAAGGATACAAGGGTCAAGGCCAAGGAATGAGTTTACGAGATGACATTTCTGCTCTATATCCCTTCTCCCTTATCTTGGCAACTCAACTGAAGGCCCTTTAATCACCTCTCCATTGAATGCCCAATTAGGAACAAACTTAACTTTACAAAATTTCTTAGACCATGCAATCAATTGCCAGACAAAACTTCAAGATACTTACTGCGTAGTGAACACAAGGGTAGGAATATTAAGTACAGGGCTAGTAGGGTCAGGTAACCCAAGAAAAGAGTGTGTGAACTGAACTGACAGGTGTCAAAGTTAGTTCCTGAAGGGCCACAGCTCTGCACAGAATAGCCTAATTAACCCTAATTAAACACACCTGATAAAACGGAGTACTACAGGCTTGTTTTAAACCTCCAGGTAAGTGTATCAAAGCAGTATTGGAAATAAACTGTGCAGGGCTGCAGCCCTCTAGGAACAGAGTTTGACACACCTGGTTTACAAGATGCTAATTTTTAGGACTTCCTTTTGGAAACAGTGCCGATTTTGAAAGATTGAATGTAATGGTGAGAGCACAATTAGAAACATAGGGCAACTGCAAGACTGTACAAACCCCTTCTCAAAGTATCTTGTCTGCAAATGATGGTCTTAAACCCTCAGTTGCTTCTTAAAGTAGATATAAAAAAAACAGAGCATGAAACAAGAGGTATGGTTTGGAAGCTACTTTCTTGTTGAAACTTGCAACACAACCCAACACAGAATTCACGAAATGGGATTGAGTAAAAGTATACATGTCTTTTTACAGAGTGTATGTTGTGCTAGTTGTGTGTGTGCTTGTTCTAGGAGGATGTTTGCTCTTATGTTGTAGTTTAACAGGAAGGACACTCAATTTTGAAGTGATCTAGAGTGTTTGTGAAGGCATTTGTTATGCTGAAACTGTGACATTACTTACTGTGTTTCTCAGGGTCAGTGTGTTTGTATGAATGCGTTTGAGAAAGGGTTGGTATTATTAAATATAGAGGAAACAAAATTATGGAGTCACGTTAAAGGATTGGTTAACCCAAAGATGAAAATTCTGTTGTTAATTACTCACCCTTATGTTGTTCCAATCCCCGGAGACCCTTTGTTTAGACCTCATCCTCCATAGGCAGCAACGGTCCTATGTCATGCGAGTTCAGTGGTTGCACAAGTGTTCTTGGAGCTTTGTATGATTCAAGTTGAACCACCGAAGTCAATGCAATGTCTTGACAAGGTTTTTGGTTTGTTTTTCTGGACTTTACACAGCTCATTAAAATGGACAAACGTCTTGGGGCAGGGGTGGCCAACCCTGTCCCTGGAAAGCCACCTTCCTGCAGATTTCCGTTGCAACCCATATCAAACACACCTGCCTGTAATTATCACGTGGTGTTCAGGTCCTAATTAATTGGTTCAGGTGTGTTGGATAAGGGTAGGAACTGAAATCTGCAGGAAGGTGGCTCTCCTGGAACAGGGTTGGCCACCCCTGTCTTAGGGCATAAGTCTCAAACTTCTCAAATTCCTGGAGGATTTTAATTCCTTTTTTGTTCCAACCCTATTCAAACAAACCTGATCCAACTAATTAAGGTGTTCAAGAGTAGTCCTGAGTACCCTGATTAGATGGATCATGTGTGTTTGAATAGGGTTGGACCAAAACTGTACAGAGATGTGGAACTGAGTTTGAGACCTATGTCTTAGTCTAGGGCTGCCCAAATTTGGTCCTGGAGGGCCTTTGTCCTGGATATTTTAGTTTCAACCCCTATTAAACACACCTGAACCAGCTAATCAAGCTCTTTCTAGGTATCCTAAAAAGGTCCAGGCAGGTGTGTTGAAGAAAGTTGGAGCTAAACTATGCAGGACACCTAAACCGCATGTCTTTGGACTGAGGGGAAAACCGGAGAATCCGGAGAAAACCCACGTCAACACGGGTAGAACTCCACACAGAAATGCCTAGTTGGAACTCAAACCAGCTACATGCTAACCACTAAGCCTTTAGAAATTAATAACAGAACTCATTTTTGTCTGAATTAATCCCCTTAAACCAGGTGTGTCCAAACTACGGCCCGCTTGCCATCTGCGGCCCGCAATCAGTTTTGTGGCGGCCCGCGAGGCTTTTTATAAATATCAATAGAATCTGGCCCGCTATACAAAAATGATCGTAATTCAATAAATAACCACCGGGTGTCGCTATTACATGCATTCAATTAAGCAGCAGTTCTTGTTATGATCTATCTATCTATCTATCTATCTATCTATCTATCTATCTATCTATCTGTCTGTCTGTCTGTCTGTCTGTCTGTCTATCTATCTATCTGTCTATCTATCTATCTATATACACACAGTTGAAGTCTGATTTATTAGCCCCTCTTTGATTTATTTCTTCTTTTTTAAATATTTCCCAAATGATGTTTAACAGAGCAAGGACATTTTCACAGTATGTCTGATAATATTTTTTCTTCTGGAGAAAGACTTATTTGTTGTATTTCGGCTAGAATAAAAGCGGTTTTAATTTTTTTATGAACCATTTAAGGTCAAAATTATTAGCCCCTTAAGTCTTCAGAACAAACCCTTGTAATAAAATAACTTGCCTAATTACCTTAACTTGTAACTTGATTAACCTAGTTAAGCCTTTAAATGTCACTTTAAGCTGTATAGAAGTGTCTTAAAAATATCTAGTCAAATATTATTTACTGTCATCATGGCAAAGATAAAATGAATCAGTTATTAGAAATGAGTTACTAAAACTATTATGTTTAGAAATGTGTGGAAAAAAATCTTCTCTCCGTTAAACAGAAATTGGGGAAAAAATAAACGGGGGCTAACAATTCTGACTTCAACTGTATATATATATATATATATATATATATATATATATATATATATATATATATATATATATGCGTGTCTGTGTGATGTGTGTAAAATTTGGCCCGCGACAACGTTGTTTTTTTTGCATCTGGCCCTCGGCCCAAAAAGTTTGGACACCCCTGCCTTAAACCAACAGTAAACTGTTTGAGAAATAGCAGTTCTAGTGACTATATCTTGCAGGTATGTTGAGCAAGTGTGTAATTGAAGCTGAAAGGGTGTGCGCTTACTGTAAACACTACTTCCCTCACAGTAGATCTTTTATAAATGGTCAAACTACAGTAACAGATCACATGGGATTCATACACATGCGAGAGTTGTTTTCACTGACATAAGGCATGAAAGGACAATGAGCTTCTGTCTTCTTGTGTGTTCTAGGCTTTAATATAATTTATGTTGTTGAATGAAGTGAATTTATGTGCATTTAAGTCATGTTTGTCATTTTAATTCTTTGCCTCTGGTACAGAGAGCAGCTCAGTTAGTGTGTGTGGCCTCGTTCGGGCTTTGAAAAACTAATTTATTTACTGCTATCATTTTGTTCAGCTGTTATTCAAGGATTAGTAAATGTTTGGAACTCAAATTGTGCGTTTGTGTGTTTTATTTAAAAGTTTGTTTCTTTGGGGAGCACAGGCACACAATTACAGCATTCGATGAAAGGACAAACACGGATCCTTTTACCTGACCTTCAGAAGAAACAAGGAATCTGAATATATTAGTGCCTCCCAAAACCAATCCCATTTAAGGCAGTACTCACACTAGACATGGTTGCTTTGAACCGTGCCAAAGCATACTTGTCCCCCATCCCCTTTCCCCCGACGGCCTGCAAGCACAATACATTATTTACCTTCTGAGCACGCTTACATCATCGATGATGTGACTGTTCAGTTTAACAGCAGAGAAGCGCTGTCGCTCAGCAGTGGACATTGCTTTAGTTATATTGCTTAGGGAAACGCAGTCAAATATGTCGCTGATCAGATCCACCACTTTTGACGCTCATAAATTTTCATGAAAGTTCTCGTGCTGCAGGTATTAGGAGGTTTGCTGAAGGTGGCAGCTGATGTGCAGCAATGGGTCTTTAACCACTTAAACTCTGCTGCTATTTTGGGATTTCCGCCTGGATTTTGCCTACCCAAATTTAAAAGCTTCCCAAATCCACATGCAGAGGTGTAACAGCAAAAATTTGGTATCATTTTAAAGAAAACCCTTTGAATTTTCATAAAACACTATTGAACGTGTTTAAAATAACTGTATATGTCGTCTGTGTTATAATAATAATATATATAAACACCTAAAAAAGAGGCGCTTTTTTTTTTTTTAGAAACTCAAATTTGAAAGTGTACCTTTTAGGTTCTGTGTGGTCTAGCGTGCTGTATTTAATTTTGGTGGTTCGTGCACATATCTGTAATCATAGGAAAAAAGAAAAATTTCTCTACCATAATCTATGCAAAAGTTATCGTATTCCAACTGATGAGAGGTGCTGTACAAGCCACAGAGACCGATCATTGTTTACATATTTCACTAATCTTTTGTTTGATCAAACATAATTCACTGTGTTTGGACCACGTCAGAAAAGGATTACTTATGCACATCACCTCAAAAACAGAGGAGAATGGCCCTGAAGCACACAGCATAAGGTAAGAGATGACAGCTCTCTGTGCTATCTGGGGCTGCTTAGTGATCATGAATGTATTGTTTACATTTCTGCGCCATGGAAATACCACAATTCATTCAACAACTCTTTGGAATATGAATATAATTCAGTAAAAAGGATGCTAGAACTGTATGAGCACCGGCAAGAGCTTTCATTTGAGCTATAACTTGTACATGTGTCATATAAAAAAATATGAAAATGAACCAATGTAAAATAGCCAGCTCGGGTATCCAAAATACTGTGTATTTAAGTGTAAATAAGTGTAAAAAAATAAGTGTAAAACTTTTATACAGTAGAATAAAAACTAAAGAGATGCATATGTGCATAAACTATAGATTCTACACTTTCAAACGACACCACTTACGGAGGTCTGGTGCAACGCTAGCCCTTTAAATCTTAAAGCGAAAGTCGATGACGTCTCAGCAGAGTTTTTAATAAACTATGACAGTTTGAGGGTATTTAAAATTGAAAATGATTTATAAATCCATCTGAAACAGTCCCTTAAAAATGGTGTTGCATTCTCAAATTCGGGCTCAGATGCGCTTTGCACTCACACTACAAGCATACCACGCCAAAGCCCAACCAAACCGTGCTCTGGCACACCTTTTCCAGCTGGGCCAGGGCCAGCCAACTGAACCACTCCTGGCCATGATTTGGAGCACTCACATTTGTCAAACAAACTGGGACACATGGTTTCACACAGCCTAGTGTGAGTGCACCCTAAAGCAGGTCGCACACCAGAAGCGCCGCTCAGCGACGCGCAACACCACGCAGCGCCATGCATTTTAGAATTCTAAACATAGGTTTTTATCAGGCGCTTCACACACCGGCGCCGCAAGTCGGCGGCGACCAGCCTCGACTCAGGACTCAGTTCATATTTCAGCCGCGCCACAGAGCGCCATCTGATTAGTTTCATGTTAAATATCATGCGAATGTGCGCGTCTGGTGTGTGATACTTTAAACTGTCATGCGCACGCAGTGTCGCGGGGCCGAGTGGCGCTTCTGGTGTGCAACCTGCTTAAAAGGACACAGTAAAAGCACCAAAACAAAAAAAATGAATGCACACCAAAAACATTCAAACAAACCTCAGACAAGCTATTTATTATTGAAATACATTTTATTAATTTCTATATTTAAATGTTTCTAATGATAAGTAGAAATTAATTAAGACTGTAATGAGAACCTATTTTTATTAGTTTTACAAAATAGGCTAAAATCTGAATTTGAGTAAAACTAGTTTTATGCATTCATTTATTGCCACATCAACAACTTATGTATATTGATCTTGCTGTGAAATATCCATCAAACATTACATGAAAAGAACTACTTCATACATTTCAATAAGAGATTATACACAATCCAATATAAACAGAAATAAATAAATAAAAAAGTCACAAAAACTGTATATTAAAAGCTAAATATGATTTTTAAATTCAATATTTGATAAATAACTTAAAATTCATCCTGGTGATACCTTTTTAAACACATTCATCACAGTGTTTTCATTATAAAAATTGTCTAATAGTACCTAAAGTTTCACATTTTAATAAAATATCTTTTATGGTTAAATCCGCTTGGCAGTAGTTACATGTTGGTGGTTCATCATCATTCAATAAATACAAATGAGTCAATCTAGAGGGACCAATTCAGCATCTAGTAAATAGTCTGTTTGTACCTGGGGTTTGGGGTCCAATCTTCATACGTGGATTACTCAATAAGTTGGATTTGGTTATTGAGGATTTGGCATGATCCAGGACTCATTTCATATAAACAGGATTAGATCAGGTCTTTTCAAGTTAATACTGAAAGTATGTACTGCATGCTGTTATTTTCTTACAGTATAATAACCCACAGGTTAAATACACTTGGGAAAATAGTAAAAAAATAAAAAAATAAAATAAAAAATAAAATAAAAATAATTTATATATATATATATATATATATATATATATATATATATATATATATATATATATATATATATATATATATATATATACACACACACACTTTTATAATTAATAATAATTAATAGTATTTAACATCAAATTCTTAATATTTATGATTATATACATAAACGTTTTAAAATATATGTATATAAATAAAACTTAAAATAAAAAACTTGAAATAAAAGTACAAAATGGGGTAGTTCTCGCCAAGGGGTTCAAAGAGAACATTAATTAATAAGGACTTTTTAGATACAAATGCGTACTATTTTAAGGTACCGACCCAGCTTTACAAGTTGTGTATGATAATAGCAGTGTTGGGCAGTAGCGTCGCTACAATTAGTAACGCTACTAACTTAACTACATTTCTCAGTAGCGTGGTGGTAGCGTTGCTACTTTCTAAATCAAATTGCTTTTCAGTAGCGAAGCTATTTTATTAGTCAAGTAGCGCAGTAGCATCCACAAAGCTACATTTACCAATCGTGGATCAATAAGTGGCATTCACAGTAATAACATTCACAACAAAAAGAAACTGGCTTGATGGAAAGATGACTGGGGGAGAGGAATTTTTTCTGAAGCAGGATTTTTCGTGACCATACCTCGAGAAGTTTAGATGTTTAGATGCAATAACTTAATTTCTGATGCTGTGCTCAAAAAATGCTTTAGCAGCTTATAGTAAGTACTACTATAAATACTACATTATGTAGTGTAATTTATTAATGGAGAGTTGTAAATATATATACAATATGCATAATGTCAAAATTTTTCTCTTTACTATAAATGACTATGGTATTTTAAATGTTACACCTGGTTTTATTGGATGTTTTGTTTTTGCTGTTACATACTAAAATGCGTTTCTGTTTAGTACAGCATATTATTTACAGTAAATAACTGAACTGAACAATTCTGCCTCATATGTTTCATTGACAGTTTTATTCATCTCTTTAAAATATAATTGACTTGGATTTGAGTTGCTTCGATTAAAAATAAAAATTGCAAAAATAGCTTAGATGTAGCTAAACTACATTTGCCAAGTAGCTTTTAGCTAAGCTTGCTACATTTCTCAGAGGGTAGATTTTAGTGTAGTTAGGCTACATTTTAACTAGAGTACCTAACAGCTTAGCTCACTACATTGTTCAAGTAGCTTGCCCAACACTGGATAATAGACATGCACAGTATTCAACTGTTTTTTGTTTGCTTGTTTTATGAAGGAATACTAATTTATGCAGTCATGCATGTGTTTTTTGATGCAAAATTAATTTAAAATCGCTGATTAAGAAACTTGAATAGGTCTAGGCTACTATAATAAAGAATATCCACTCTAAAAAGTAAAACGAAATAAAATCGCTAAATACTCTTGACACATGAAAGTATAAAGCCTGCAGCCCACAACAAAGGTGGAAAGTTATTGTTTATTATATTTAACTAATGGTTTACTATGAATTTTATGTAATTTTGCTCACATGAATAATTGAATATCAATCAGATGATGTCAATACGCTTCTGTGCCGTCAGCCAGTCATTGCATTGCTGATCAAGTGATCATGATTTCGAGGATCAAATGATCGGTCTTTAAAAATGCGTGCAGTGATCCCAGATCAGTTCATCCAGACATTTTAATCTGATTCGTCAACTTGTACCAAAAGAACCAAATTAGCCAGACACCAGTCATCAAGATTAACACATCCAGGATCTGTCAAATCATCTTAGATCATTTAAGCAAGGTACGAAGAACAGACCCCTGGTCCACTCCATCATGGCCAAAAAAAAAAAAAGAAGAAGATTGAGTGAAATACAGGTATATGATACACACCAGTTGTAAATACTGCAGTCAGCTGACTTACTTCATGGGGTTGCCAAGCGTCTGAAATTATTAAAGCAAAAAACAAATATATATTTAAGTGATACTCAAATAAAAACATTTAAGTTTGAGCATGCACAGAAGGAATCTTTTCTACAGTTATTTGGGAGGAACATATATGAAATGGACAGATTTTATATGATTTTATTTCAATTTAAGTAAAT